CCGCCCCCCCCCCCCCCGTACTTATGGTCCCATGATGGTTTGGCACAAGCCAGTTACCAGCCTAAGTGCAGCCTAGGATTCCAGGGAGGAGGATGCCTGGCTTGGCTTCACCCCTCTGAGACATGGGTCTTCTCTAACTGCTCTCCTTGTCCTCACTGTTGCGGCCGCAGGCAGAATTTCTCAGGCTGTCTTTGGGCCTTAAGTGTGACTGGTTTACGCTGGAAAAGAGAGTCAAGCTTGAAGAGAGGTCCCGGGACCTGGCGGAGGAAAACTTGAAGAAAGAGATTACCAACTGTTTAAAGCTCTTAGAGGTGAGCGGATGCCTGGGGACCAGTAGTCACTTGCTTACAGGCTTACCCCTCCCTCCCTCTCCCTGTCTGGCCTCAGCCACTCCGGTGCTAGGACCACAGCTGTGAGCCACATGACCAACCCTATAGTTACTGTCTGTTTTGTTGTTGTACATGGTATAGGAGTCCAGTTCCATACTTAGGCATATGGATATACACACTTTTCTCAACGCTGTTCCTGGAAGACACATCCCTTCTCCGTTGTGTGTTTTTGGTTTCGTTCTCACAGATCATTTGACCACAGACATGAGTTGTTTTCTGGCATTCTGGTGTGTTCTATAGTCATTGTGTTTGCCCCAGTACCATCCCACTTGAATTACTGGAGGTGGTGTGTACTATGTTCTTCAAAAATTATTATGCTTGCTTATTTTGCATATGGGGGGGCACATAACACGGAGCACGTATGAAGGCCAGGAGACAGTTATATTTATTGGGGGTCCATGCCATGGCTCAAACTTGAGGGAATTTTCTCCTTCCACCATGTGAGTCCTGGTGTTTGACCTCAAGTCATGTGTGCTGGCAACATGTGCTCGCTCTTACTGAGCCACCTCGCCAACTGTGTTGCGTGGGTTAGAATCAGAAGCATGGCGCCTCTGATTCTGACCTTTCATTGAGTCGCTTGAGCTGTTCACTCTTCCTCAATGGACGACCCTAATTTTAGGGTGCTTTTGTGTCAGCCTTTTTCTCTTGGGCCACCAATCAGCTCCCAAATCATAACACGGAGACTTCAAATTATGAGTGCTCAGCCTTGCCTTATGCCCGTTTCTGGCTAGCTCTTATAACTTAACCTGTTTGTTTTATTTTTTTAATCTCATGTTTTGCCTCAGGGCTTTTGACTTTTCTTTCCCTATGTCCTATTGTTCCTGCTGCGTCTTTGTCTGGCTACCTGCCCCCCAGGGGTCTCTCGTTCTCTTCTTTGTCTGGCTACCTGCCCCCCCCCAGGGGTCTCTCGTTCTCTTCTTTGTCTGGCTACCTGCCCCCCAGGGGTCTCTCTCGTTCTCTTCTTTGTCTGGCTACCTGCCCCCCAGGGGTCTCTCGTTCTCTTCTTTGTCTGGCTACCTGCCCCCCGAGGGGTCTCTCTCGTTCTCTTCACCCTCCTTCTTCCTTCCTACTTATTCCCTCTTTCCACCAGCCCTGCCTACCCCTCTCCTGCCTAGCTATTGGCTGTTTAGCTCTATATTAGACCAATCAGGTGCCCTAGGCAGGCAAGGTGAAATAGCAACACATCTTTACATAGTTAAATATTCCTCAACGTTTTTTTCTTTTTCATACTTTTTAGTGGTAGGGATCAGCATCAGAGTCTCAGGAATGTGAGACCCATGCTCTAACCCTGAGCTATGCTCCCCAAGCCCCCACATTTCTCTACTTCTGCTCACTCCCAGATGATACTGTTGAAATTCCACAGACTCTATAGATTGCTTGGTCATCAGGTCTATCAACCTTTCCATTTGTGTCTTCGTGTTATAGGTTTCAAGGAATAAGTCTTCTTCTTCTTTGCTCTGTTTTTTTTCGGGGTGTTATATTCTTTGCAATATTTATTTTAAATAAAAAGTTTCCTTGGTTTATTATTTTAAGAAGAGTCAGGACACAGAAACACAACTGATTCTTGTGCTGCTTTTGAATATTGTAATTTTTGCTAATTCAGAATTTTTGTTCTGCCTTTGGGATATGCTGCAGGTAAAAACCACACTGTGAACAGAAATATTTTATACCTCTTAGCTTCTATTTGGGATTCCTTAAAAGTCATTTTTCTTGCCTAATTGCTTTGGCTACTAAACCAATACCATAATATGTTGCATAGAAGTGAGGGTGTAGCCCTTGGCTTGTTCTTAAGTGTAGAGGGAGGGGTCATCTTCTGCCAGTGACCCTTACGTTAACCGTGGGTTTCTGACCCATGGCTTCTATTATGTTGAAGTAATTTCTTCCTATTCCTGTAATGTTTTTAAAAATGTTTTTAACAATCACAGATTCATCTTTTCTGATGCTTTTTGACTCTTTTGCTATGATTGTGTGGCTTTTTATCTTTTCTACCAATGTGGTACATTATCTCAAATGAGTCTCATGTATTGAACAAACCTTGCATCCTAGCAACAAATTCCACCCGGTCATGATGTACTGAATTCAGTATTTCACGGATGTCTTAGCATTAGAATTCCTCAGGGTTATTTATCTGCTTGCAGCATCTGTTAAGCCTTAGTATTGAGGTAATGAGTCCTCATAGAAGGAATTTGGTAATAATATGTCTTTTTTTGTTTGTTTGTTTGTTTTGTTTCTTGAGACAAGGTTTCTCTGTAGCTTTGGAGCCTGTCCTGGAACTAGCTCTTGTAGACCAGGCTGGCCTCGAACTCACAGAGATCTGCCTGCTTCTGCCTCCCAAGTGCTGGGATTAAAGGTGTGCACCACCACCTCCCCGGCTGAAATAATATGTCTTGTTGGGTGTTTGGGAAGGATTTTAAAAGCGTTGGTGTGAGTTTTTCTTTACTGTTTGGTAGAATTCCTCCGGGAAGCCGTTTGTCCCAGGCTTTTCCTTGTTGAAAGGCTTTTATCAATCAGTTGGTCTTGTCCAGTTATTTCTTCATATTTCTGTTGTAGTTACCAACCTTGTCTTGTTTACAACTCACATCTGCTCTTCTTTCTCAACCGGTTGTTGGTATCTGACAAAGGCTGTTTCTGCTAGCCAACAACCTCTTTAGCTGTAACTTAGACATATCTCTGTGTTTCTAATGTGACTGCCATTCACTGCACCTGTGTGATAACAAGGATGTGGAGTTATGTTGCAGTATTATTTCGAAAGGACATAAACAGCAAACCAGTGTAACCGGAGACTGCTCGTTCATTTCCTGGCTGCCCAGACCCGGATCACACAGAAACTATACTGATTACAGCACAGCTTGGCCAATAGCTTAGGCATATTTCTAGCTAGCTCTTACATCTTAAATTTACCCATTTCTAGTAATCTGTGTATCTCCATGATTCTGTGGCCTATTGGTAATTTCAGGCATCTTTCTCCTTCAGCAGCTACATGGTGTCTCTTTTTGATTCTGCCTACTCACTCTCTATATATCTCATCTAATCTGGCTATATTTTGCCCTGCCATAGGCCGAAGCAGCTTCTTTATTAACCAATGGTAATAAAACATATTCATAGCATACAGAGGGGAATCCCACATCAAACCAGAAAGGCCAAAGCTTGGCATTTCCAGGATTATTAATCAGTCTACCACTTGTGGTATGACTGGCAGAACCGCTTCTGAATGATAGCCACCCCACACGATGGAGCCTCTCCCAGAGTTCATGGCACTTTAGACATTTGCTCAGTCACACAGACAGTAGTAGCTTGTTTACTCTCTAGTCTGATCTTCCTTTCTGCTGGGAAGAATGCCTTGAAAGGCATCCTCGAGGTAGAAGGTGTGAGTTTGGATGAAGCATGATATTGTATGCACCTAGCCAGCCTGGCCACACCAGTATCCTAAGAGCGGACACTGGTTATCCCTCATTCATTGTGACGGAATACCCGCCAAAGGCAGTCTAGGGAAGAAAAAATTTATTTTGGCTCGAAATTTAAGACGGTAGTTCATCATGGCCAGAAGGCATGGTGACAAGAACAGCCCAAGCCATGATTGTGAGACCCAGTCAAGAGGGCAGACAAAGGTGAAGGCAGGTGCTCAGCCGGTGCCTTGGTTATTGTTCCATTGCTGTGCTGAGACACCCTGACCGAGGTCATCTATAAAAGAGTTTATTGTGGCTTACTGCTTCAGAGGGTGAGTCTCTGACCATCGTGGCAGTGAGCATGGCAGGCAGACATGGTTGCTGGACCAGTGGCTGAGCTCACATCTCATCCTCAGGACAGGGACCTACCTGGGATGTGTGGACTTCTGAAACCTCAAAGCTCACTCCTAGTGACACACCTCCTCCAGCAAGGTTGCACCTCCTAATCCTTCCCAAATAATTCTGCCAACTAAGGACCGAGTATTCAAATGTGTGAACCAATGGGGGTCGTTCTCATTCGAACCACTACAGCTGGCTTCCTCCTTTTCCTCCTTTTATTCAGTGGGGAGCCCCAGGCGTGGGATGGTGGTCCCCATATTCAGAAGTGGTCTTCCCTCCTCTCTGGAAGCACTGCCACAGGCACACCCAATGGGGTGTCTCCTAGGTGATTCTAAAATCAGTCCTGATCCAGTTCAGATTATTGTGATTCTCCTCTGAAAAAGTTAATTTGTCCTCATACAACACTTTCCACTTACGGGCATTGTCTGTTTATCTCATCCTGTCTTGTGAGCCGTGGAGGAAAGTGAGCGCACATGGGGGTAACACAACAGGAAGGGGAGACTAGGCATTGTGTACCTGTGACCCAGCACAGTGTTTGGATGCCCTGCACCGCTGGGCTTGGGTGGTGCTCTCTGCTCTCCATCGGATGCTTAGGTCCGAAAGTGGTTTATGTGGTGTTAGAAACACTGTCGAGCATGTTTTAATGCTTTGCTCCCCACACAGTCATTAGCGCCTCTATGTGACGACGACAACCAGGCTCAGGAGATCATTAAGAAGCTGGAGAAGAGTGTAACACTGCTCAGCCAGTGTGCGACGCGTGTGGCCAGCAGGGCGGAGATGCTGGGGGCCATCAATCAGGTAACAGTGGAGCTGAGAGGATTTGTGCTCCCGCAGAGTGTGGGCTACAGAATAAGAAGACGTTTTTGGAACACTTCTGGGCTTCCAGGTGTGGGTTTAAGCCTTTAAACCCAGCACCGGGGATGCAGAGGCAAGTGCGTGCTTGTGAGTCCAGGCCCAGTTTAGTTTGCACCGAGTTCCGGGCCAGCCAGGGATGCAAGGTGGGAAAGAGAGAGGAAAAGAGGCAGAGATGGGGTGAGAGCTGGCTGACTCAAAGAGGGAGGCACGGCCCTGTTTAGTCTGCAGTGTGGGTTTGTAGAAGTGTATTCCAGGGTGAGATGTAAGCCCCTTTCTCTCCTAGATCACAACAGACCCCACTTTTTTTTAGGGTGTTTCTTCCACGCTCTTCTTGAAAAACCTATGAAGGGTTTTTGCTGTTGTTGTTGTTGGGCTTTTTTGTTGTTTTGTTTGTTTTGTTTTTACTCCCATGGAGGGAGTCGGGAGCACAACACAAATGATAGGATAATGAACCAGGGGACTCCGAGGACACCGACCCGCATCAGTGCGCATGTGCAGTGGTTGGGAAAGGGCCCTGGGGCCTGCGTCACTGACGCAACTGCAGCTTCCAAAATGCCTGAGCAGTGGGGCTTTGTTCCCTCCGGATGCTCAGTGCTGACTGTGGTTTCCTTGGTCACCCTGCCTACCCTCCTATCTGCTCGTTTGAGTGTTATACAGAGTCATAAAAAAGCAGGATTTCAAGTGTGCATCTTGAGAAGTTCCCAGGAGACTCCTGAAAATCGGCACCAAACAGATGGGCTAAGGTTTCCTTAGGAAGACACTTAGCGTGTTGGAGGCTTCAGTCTGACAGTGTGTTATACAGCCTAGCGTTTTCAACCCCTCAGTTGGGGATGCTGTTGATCTTTATTTGGATTAAAGTTATGTGTGCACAGGGCTTTAAAAACCCAGGTGTCTCTGTCAGCTGCCTCACCTACCCCCATCAACTTTGTGTCTGCATCTGTGTTTCTCAGTCGCATGCTTACTGGGTCCCTTAGTGACATGTTTCCCTTTTAAGCATGATCCATAGCTTTCTTGCTATGATGATGGACATGTGTTTTTGTCAGTCTCTGCCTCCCCCACACTTTCCATCCCATATTCTCCCATCTTCTTTCTTTTTTTTTTAATATTTATTTATTTATTTATTATGTATACAATATTCTGTCTGTGTGTATATCTGTAGGTCAGAAGAGGGCACCAGACCTCATTACAGATGGTTGTGAGCCACCATGTGGTTGCCGGGAATTGAACTCAGGACCTTTGGAAGAGCAGGCAATGCTCTTAACCACTGAGCCATCTCTCCAGCCCCCTCCCATCTTCTTTCTTGACCAAGCTTTAAACTCTATGATCAGATCCAGAGTTCCCTACCGCATGAACCCTTTCCACCTTCCATGTTTCACCCGTCAGAGGGAAAACAGTACACCCGTGCTGACTCAGGCTCACTGTGCTGACTCAGGCTCACCCTATGCTGACTCGGGCTCACTGTGCTGACTCGGGCTCACTGTGCTGACTCGGGCTCACCCTATGCTGACTCGGGCTCACCCTATGCTGACTCAGGCTCACTGTGCTGGATCAGGCTCACCTGTGCTGACTCAGGCTCCCCCGTGCCGACTCGGGCTCACCCGTGCTGACTGAGCTCTTCACTTACATTGAATGCTTCGTGTGGGGCCAGGGAGCTTACTGTCCCTTCTAAATCAGCTTCACATCTTGTCCTCAAACCACCACCATGCCTTTCCTGCGTTCACCGTCAATAGTGACTTTGCTACAAGAAAACTGCCGCGGAGGGAGGGAACTGTGTCAGTGCAGTTAGTGTTAACTGCCTCAGACTTGAAGCTACCGTCAGAACCCATAGGCTGCCACCTTCCACAGCTGTAGACAGTCATTCTCCTGCACTAAGGGCAGCCACTTACCTGTACACACGATCCCATCCTGTCCCAGATTACCCAGAAACATAAGCCTCAATCCTGCCAACCGAAACCCTTTTACCAGTTCCCACTGGGACAGGTGCACATTGTTTGTAAGATGGAGGAGGCAGAGAGGTGGTGTAAATCCACCCACATGCTCACAAAACCAAGGTGACCCTCAGATTTCTGAGTTTCACGTCATCTTCTGTCTCAACGTCCTGGTGGCACCTGGCATTTCTTCCCAGATGCCTGATACATGCTGCACGGGCCCTTTCACTACCCACTGCCTCCCTCCCCCCATTCCTAGAGGCACAGGCCGGGACTAGTGGAGATTTGATGGGTGTTGCAAGGAGAGCAGCTTGTTTGTCCCAGCCGCCCAGAACGGAAATAACCACACAGAAACTGTATTAATTAAATCACTGCTTGGACCATTAGCTCTAGCTTCTTATTGGCTAACTCCTACATCTTAATTTAGCCCATTTCTATTAATCTGTGTATCACCACGAGGTCGTGGTCTACCAACAAAGTTTTAGCACGTCTACCTCCGGCCATGGATCCATAGTGTCTCTCTGACTCTACCGTCTTTCTCCCAGCATGCAGCCTAGCTTTCCCCACCTAGTTTTGTTCTTCCCTGTCATAGGCTCAAAGCAGTTGCTTTGTTCATTAACCAATAAAATCAACACATAGACAGAAGGACCTCCCACACCAGATGGGGGAGACTTTCACCACTCCTATCTCCTGCATCAGTTGTTAAAACGTGCCTCGTTGCTCTACCTTCAGACCAGCAAGAGAATACAGCCACAATTGGTGTTGGCATGTCTACCACAGCACCTAAGTCACCGCCCACTCCCAACCTCTGCACTAACACAGTGGCTTCCAAAATGGTCCTGCTTATGTCAAATCCTAATCCTTCCAACACTTTATTCTTTAACAAGCAGCTTGTGTGTGTGTGTGTGTGTGTGTGTGTGTGTGTGTGTGTGTGTACCTGTGTGGGTGCCTGCACGTGTGTGTGGGTGTGTGTACATGTTTGCCACAGTGCTCGTGTGTAGGTCAGGGGGCAACTTGGGAGAGCTGCTTTTGTCCTACAGGCTGTAGGGGTGGACTCAGGCCTTTGGGCTTGCATGCGGGCTTTTCACTTGCCAGGCCACCCTGCAGGCCTCAGTGTGTTTTATCTGAGTGCTGAGAACGGTGTTGCTGATGGAAGCTGACTCTTGCAGGAAAGCCGGGTGAGCAAGGCGGTGGAAGTCATGATTCAGCACGTGGAAAACTTGAAGAGGATGTATGCCAAAGAGCATGCCGAGCTGGAGGAGTTGAAGCAGGTTCTGTTGCAGAACGAGAGGTCCTTCGCACCTCTGGAAGATGAGGGTAACGGTGATGTGCTGCCTTGGTGGCTAAGAGTGTTTGCTGCTCATCTTGGGTCCCAGAAACCATGTCTCTTAGTTTACAGCAGCCTCAACTCCAGCTCCAGGGGATCTGATGCCCTCTACTGGCCGCAATGGGCAGCTGCACTCACATTTAAGTGAACACACATGCGCGCGCGCGCACACACACACACACACACACGCACACAGAGTTTTAGTTTCTTCTTTTTTCCTCTTTCTTCTTCCTTCCTCATTCCTCATGGATAGGATCTCTCTATATAGCCCTGGCTTTCCTGGAACTCCCTATGTGGATGCAGACTGACTTCAAACTTAGAGCTCCACCTGCCTCTGTCTCCCAAGTACTGGGATTAAAGGTGTGCACCATCATACCTGGCCTACATAGTTTTAATTTTAAAAGATAATTGTTATGATTTCTTAATATTCTCTTTCATGATCCCTCACTGTCTTGCTGCATCATTTAATAGGATCATTAAGTTCAGGTTATATTAGGAAAAAACTTTTGTTCCTGTGTTTTATATAATATCAGGGAAAAAACAGAAAGACACCACGGGTTCTTTGTGTTATCCTCAGAATCCATGAATTTACTTTGGATCACAGAGACACGGCCCTTCGTCCCACACCTTAAGAAGACTCTAGTGTCTAGCCAGGGTGCATCAGAGCTGGTTCTTTCTTCACACATGATAATGTGCAATAAATGAACCACTCCCACCCCATAGTTTGGATTCTTGAAGGAGTTATTGATCCTAGATTGAGAGACAGATGAGAACATGTGGTTTCTATAAATCTTATGATTTTTTTTTTAGATTTACTTCTTTTTATTTTGTGGGCATGACTGCTTATATGTATGTGCATGCAGTGCCCGTGGAGGCCAGCAGAGGGTGCCTGGCCTTCTGGAACTGCACAAAGATGCTTGTGAGCCTCACAGATGCTGGGGATTGAACTTGGGTCCTTTGCGAGAGCAGCCACTGCTCTTAACCACTGAGCCATCTCTCCAGCTCTCGATGGAGTAAACAGTATAAGCTCTTCTGAACGGAATTCTTACTTTAGTAATGCTTCCTCTGTTGGATGTTCTTCTGCATGCTAGCAGGCACTGTAGACAGCTGCAGGAACGTTAGTGGTTTATATGGGGGCCGTCGGGGCTGGAGATATTGCTCAGGGGTTGAGCACTTGCCAGACGCATAGGAAGTCCCTGAGCTCAAGCCTAGTGCCACAAAATAGAACAAATTAAACATCTTTGTGAGTAGTTCCTAGAGTCTTGGTTTTAGGGTTTGAGACAGTGTGGCTCTATAACCAAGGCTGGCCACAACAATTTTCCTGTCTTAACCTCCAGAGTCGTCATAAACCATTTATGACCTTTACTTGACAGAGATGCACGTGTGAGTTCAAAAGGCAAAATCGTGTGACCAGAGAGATGGCCCAGTGGTTAAGCTGTTCTTGCAGTGTCCCAACACCCACACAGTGGCTCACAGCTATCTGTGACTCAGTTTTAGGGGGTTGGGAGTCAGATGTGGGGGGTCAGATGTGGGGGGCCAGATGTGGAGGGCCAGATGTGTGGGGTCAGAAATGGGGGGTCAGATGTGGGGGGCTGATGTGGAGGGTCAGATATAGGGAGTCAGATGTGGGGGTCAGATGGGGGGTCAGATGGGGGGTTTGATGGGGGGTCAGATGTGGGGGGCCTGATGGGGAGGGTCAGATGTGAGGGGTCAGATGTGGGGGGTCTGATATGGGGGGTCAGTTGTGGGGGATCTGGTGTGTGGGGTCAGATGTGGGGGGTCAGATATGGGGGGCTCAGATGTGATACACAGACATACATGCAGGGAGAACATACACAATTCTCAGAAAATTTTAACGTGGTAATATTTCCTTTTAGATGACTGTCAGATTAAAAAACGTTCATCTTCTCTAAATTCCAAGGTAATTACTAATTTCATAATTAAAAAATCCTGACAAAATGCTCATAGGATGTTAAGATGGTAACCTTTTACTGGAAGTCACAGAACTGGGATTTAAATCTTCTAAGCAGAGAAGGGAAGGTAACAAAAGAGAAAAAAACACATTTGGCTAAATTACAATACAGCTAGTCTTTTAGGAAAATACAGGGAAAATGAGCATAAACGTAAGCGTGTTTCTCGGTGCAAACACGCACAGCGTGACCCAACAGCAAAGGTATTCGGTGTGAGCTGAAGACAGATCCGTGAAAGCCCAGGTAAGAGACCTCGCTCTTGGCTGGCGGAAGTCATAAAGCCAAGGCTGGGGGAGACGGAAGTTCTGGAAGATGATTTGCCATGCAGTGCCCTTGAACGCTCCTCTGCTTCCTGACAGCTGAGCGTGGTGGCAAGCAGCGTGCGGAGGACGTGACGCCCCTCCCCAATGTTCTAATTGTACTTCTCTCTACTCTGTAGCCATCGTCTCTTCGAAGAGTGACAATTGCCTCTTTACCCAGGAATCTTGGAAATATAGGGATGGTAAGTGCACTTGGAGGCCTCTGCCTTGGAAGTAAACTCGTCTGTCCCTATGACCCAAACGTAATTCCTTCACTGAACTCTATCTTACCATTTCTCGGCCCTCCGTAGGTATCTGGGGTGGAAAACAATGACAGATTCAGTCGGCGGTCGAGCAGCTGGTAAGTGTGACCTGTGCCTACTCTGGGAACCCATGCAAGCCGAGAGTGGGGCTCAAGCAGATGGACATTGACAATAACCTTAGATTTGCTCAGAGTGTGAGCAGTGCAGACATTAAAACTGGCATGGGTCAGGAGGTGGTGCACACCTTTAATCCCAGCACTCGGGAGGCAGAGGCAGGAGGATCTCTGTGAGTTTAAGGCCAGCCTGGTCTACAAGAGCTAGTTCCAGGACAGGCTCCAAAGTTACAGAGAAACCCTGTCTTGAAAAACCACACACACACACAAAAAGTGGCATTCTGTCGTGGCAGCTGCCCTGGGGAATGAGGGTTACAGTGTGATTTCTGCACTGACTTGAGAGTCGGGGGACACAGTGGCAGCAGGAACAGCTTTGCTGATCACATGGCCATTATCTTTGTGTAGGAGAATTTTGGGGACAAAGCAGAGTGAGCACCGCCCCTCGCTACACCGATTTATTAGCACCTATTCCTGGGCAGACGCCGACGACGAGAAATGTGACGTGAAGTAGGTGACTTGTGGTGTGTCATGAACCTAGTGTGCGCTGAGGCCTGCAGTGATCTGTCATGATGTGTCCGTCAGTCTGGTGTGATCTGAGCCTGCATAGGGATCTGGTGTGCGCTGAGGCCTGCAAAGGGATCTGTCCTGATGTCTGTCGGTCTGGTATGAGCTGAGGCCCGCAGAAGGACAGAGAGACTCTGAACCACTTTATAAACGTCATTGGGAACACAGTGGCTCCTCCGGCCCTCAGTGTGGCAGTACTTTAATAACTCCCTGCGATTTCCCAGACCTAGACACGCCCATCGCCAGGGTCACAGAACTAAAATCTCAATCACCCTACAGTACTAAGCCAGAAATGGGTAGAGAATATGTTTGCACGTGTAACATATGCCCTTTGTGATGTCTGTCTTGTGAAAAGGAGAGACATTTCATCCTCTGCTCAGCAGAGTTTGTCTTTTTGATACACAGGGGCTGCTATGTAGCCCTAGCTGGCCTCAAACGAAAAGCAACCCTCTGATCTCAGACTTCTGAATGTTGGGATCACAGGTGTCACCACTATGTCTAGAATATGTTTAGCAAGTTTAATGAGTTAAAATATGCTGTATGCTTCCACAGTGAAAACCAGAGGGCAAAGGGTGAGGTAACTCGATGCCACGGCCTCTCACGCCACCTTATTTGGTCCGTTTGGTCATCTATTATAACTTCTCCCTCAGGTCTCTCATTTAAGGGATTTTAAACATATCCCAGAGCGCCTCCAGCACACTTGCTCAGCCCTAAGATCAGGAAGAGACAACACAGGCGTCTCACACATCCCAGAATCCAGCAGCCCATGTCCCTATCTAGCTATGGTGATGGTCTGCTCTGACATCACAGGCATCTCACACATCCCAGGACCCTGCAGCCCATGTCCCCATCTAGCTATGGTGATGGTCTGCTCTAACATCACGGGCACATGCTCCCCATTTATAGTATCGGCCTGAGCTACGTAGGGAAAATGACAAGGGCTTCCTTCAAAGACTGCTTGCCTACGGCTTCACTCAGTCCTTGTAATCAAAGACAGAGATGAAGATGCTCATGGGACCTGTCCCCTCATGTCCCCTCCTCCTTAGACACTCTCCTCTGGCAATCATGGGCGTCATGAGCTAAAAATTTCAAAATTCAAATTGAACCAGGAGCCATTAGTTAGGTCAGTTTGCTTAGGTGGAGGGCGCCCTCTCTGGGTTATGATTTAAAATACACGCAGTCTAGACACTTCCTAGGGCTCTAAGTACCAGTTTCAGCTAGCTTCACATTCAGCAAATTTTCATACGCTTTTTAAATTAACATGTGAGAGGAACGGCACTTGGACCGTATTCCAAGTCAGCACCGATCCAAACACTATCAAAAAGAAGCCAGAAGAGTATGCCTAGGGTCCCCTGCTCTGAGGAGGCAGAAACAGGAGGACCACTCCAAGGGTGAGGCCTGCCAAGGCTCTACCAGGAAGTAAGTGCATGGACTGCTCCCAGGAGATACTGAAACAGGAGTTGGCTCTTCTAAGGAGTTACCGTTTCAGGAAATGGGCCACCAACAGGCTGAAGTATGGTTCAGGAGGGGCACAGGGAGCCGCACTATTGAGCAGACGTGGTCAAAGATCACTTAGAATCTTGAATTTCCTCTTGTGGGTGTCCCTGGCCAGCATACTACACAGAAGTTATCTGAACTTCCTCTAAGTTTGGTGATCTAACATTTAGAATTTGAGACCTCAGTGATGGTTTGTAAACATAGCATGTTATCATTGGTTTCAAAAACTATTTGCAGAACCCGAGATGCCCCTGAACCACCCGGAGAAGAGGCAGTGGAGACGACCAGGAAGGCCAGCCTTTCTGAAAAGAGAAGCAGCCCCTCCAGCTGGGACAGCGGGGCAGTGTAAGACGCTCACTCACTGGGGAGGGCGGGGATGGAGAACACTGGGCTAGCCATGGCGCTCAAACTGCTTTCTAGACGGGCATGTGGATTGTTATGACTAAGACAGACCACAGTGTGGTGGTGGTCCACGGCAGCAGCTCCCCTGACACTGGCCTATGCAGTGCAGGAACCTGACTCTTGGTCCCAGGCTCTGCCCTGCTCAGTCCCAGGCTCAGTCCCAGGCTCAGTCCCAGGCTCAGTCCCAGGCTCAGCCTGGGGACTGGTGCAGAGGCCAGCGAGGTGGTACGAAGGCTGGTTTCCTGCAGCTTACTTGAGCAGGGAAGGTGCTGTTTCAGTGGGAAGTGCATTTGAAAGGATAAATGCGTCAGTGCCCGTGTCACAGGCCCCACATTGTAGCCGACTATTCCTTTCATTCTACTAGTCAAGAAAGGGGGGGCGCGGACTGTACCCTAAACCAAGGCTCCGCCCTAAGGTGCAGTTAAGGCAGCCTTGTCGGGGTACTCTGTAACTCCTGCCACCAGTAGAGGCGAGTCTCCAGGCTCCACACGCTGTGACTGCCCCTTCCCCTGTGCTCTCCCCACAGATGCAGCTCGGTGACTTCCTGGGTCACTCACCTGCAGGCGTCCTTCAGAAGAGCCAACAGAGTACTCTGGCTCTCCATGGTCTTCATCGTATTGTTTGCAGCGCTCATGAGCTTCCTCACCGGCCAGTTCTTCCAGACGGCGGTGGAAGCTGCGCCCGCACAGGAAGGCAGCGCCTGGATGTCTCTGGAACACATCTTATGGCCGCTTACCAGACTCAGGCACAATGGGCACCCACCGGCCTGACCGCAGCACAGCCAAATGTCCCGCTCTGTTTTTAACATTTCCCTCTGAGGTTCATCAAGTAGTAACATTCAAGTAATTATAGCATGAAACCAGGGTTTGCGTGGGACAGTGGTTTTGTACTCTGTAAAGATTTGTCACTTGTCTGGTTTAATAAAATGCTGAAAGGTCAGTAGCCAAGCAGGAAGTATAGGCGGGGTGACCAGAACAGGAGAATTCTGGGAAAAAAGAAAGGCTTAGTCTGCATTTGTCACAGAGGAAGCCGGACACAGAGGAAGCAAGATGAGAATGCCTCACCAATGAAAGGTGCCAAGTCACGTGGCTGACATAGACAAGAATTATGAGCTAATTTAAGATGTAAGACTTAGTAAGAAGCCTGACATAACAGGCCAACCAGTTTATAATTAATGTAGACCTCTGTGTGTTTCTTTGGGGCTGAATGGCTGCAGAATCAGGCAGGACAGAAACCTCTGTCTACAGGGTTCTCAGAGCTGCTGAGATATTTTAATTCCCCAACTATTTAGCACAGGGAGAGGATGCCGCCTAGGGTATTTTAGTGAGCTTTCTGAGACAGAGAGACATAGTGCTTTTATTGAAATGTATCAAAATAAAGAACTATTCCAATCTCATGCAGTGAACTTGAATATAGAGTGCTCATAGATCATCTTAGTAGTTTGTCATAGCAACACTTGGAGAATACCTGATTCCTCCTGGGGTCTGAGGGTCCCACCAGCCGTTACACGGGCCGTGAAGACTAGGAAAAGCTAAGAACCCGGATGGACAGCAACATGTGGCACACGGAGTCGATGAACTGGCAATCTGAGTGCCTAACCTTCTCCATCGCCTCTGGAGAGGCAAAGTCCTTCACCATGTGATACAAAGTAGAGTGAAACTCAGTCTCCTCCTTGAGGGCCTCGGAGAACACCTCGCTGTCTTCCCTGATCTTCAGCAACTGTGCCCTGTCACCGCTGAACATGAGGAGGGCCCAGAGATGCTCCTCGGCTTCCTCTGCCAGGCCTTCCTTCACCTGGAGAGAGAATTTCAGTTCTGGGAACGCCAAGACATGCACAAGGACAGGAGCTGCTGAGTCCCCAGGTCACCCAGCTGAAAGACAGTGTCACTCTGGAGACCAGGCTGGCTCAGCACAGCTGAGACCACGCTGAATGCCCCATTTCTGAGTTTTAAACCACGCTGCATGCCCCATTTCTGAGTTGTTTTAAACCACGAAGCTATGTGCATTGGGGCATCTGTGGAGCAGCTGCCTGTGTCTCCATGAGACAGATGTTACCCAAGCACTGCTCTAGAAGCTGAGCCAACAGTGGGTACCCCACCCACAGATACTGACCGCACCATGCAGACCCAGCTTTCACAGTAGGGACAAGAGAAAGAAACATGGTGGCTGCCCTATGCTGACATACTCACGGCCAAGCCTGGTGGTGGGGAGGGTGGGGAGTTAACACCTTGGGGATGGGACATACATATAGTATGTATGAGGTTCTGGCTTCCAGCCTAGCTCAGGGGAAAACCAGCCAGCCTTGAGTTGGGAAGGTGTCTGTTCTATGTGTCAGCAGTAAAGTGTCGGGAAGTTAGTCTGCAGGACGCCCATGAGCCATGGGTACTCGCACACATGGGTCCCTTATCAGAGTCGGTAAAGACGGTCAGTCTTTCAGTGGTCTGACACACCAGAACTCAGAATGTCACAACATTCTGAATGTCGATTTCCCCTTTAAGAGGAGGGGAAGATGGTTCCATGCACTTCCCGGGTGTCTTCTCTTTGGAAGACAGGGTCGTTTCCTGGTTTGCATACTGTACCCTAAACACGACTCTGGAGGAGTTGCAGCTCATGTTCCACTTGCTCCATCTGAATGCAAAGGCAGAGCTCAGTAGGGCCATTTGTCGATAGGCCTTCACCTCCACCATGGGGACCTGTCCAGAGGGGCGTGCGCATAGTCAGTCTTCAAGTGTTCCAGCAAGCCTCCCCACCCCACCTCTCTGTCAGCTGGCCTTATTTCCAATTTTACATCAGATTTGTGACTCCACTCTCAATCAGGCAGCGGCTTTCCCTTTCTGCACGCGCCCTAAAGTGAACAGTGTCCACAGAGTCCTCTGTGAGCTGTCCCCAACACTGCGCCTTTCCTAGTCCGACAGTTCCAGGCTCCTCAGCAGACCTGCCAGTTGGCTGCTCCCTTGGGGGGGCCTGGTTGCAGCTGGGCTTTCTACCTAGAAAGAGCCCCCCACGCCACCCCACCGAGACAACCCAGGGGTGCACACCTCACTTTCCAGCTGAGATTGCCACGGAGCGGACTGTGCAGTCCAGCCTCCCTCCTCCTCCCTCCTCCGGAGCCTGCCTACACTGCCTCCCTCCTCCTCTGTTTGTTCTGTTTCCCCACAGCACTTTCTGCCTTTCTAAGTGCAAGGCCCCTCATTCTCTGCTAGATTGTCAGCTCCCAGGGCAGGCCCTGTTCTACAGACAGGAGCAGGGTGGTGCGCACAGTTAACTGTGTCACCGGGCCACTAAAACTGACCTGTTCTATCTGCGTTTTTACGTCCACACCCTTCGGGACATGATTGGCAGGGGTTACCCAATTATTGCCAAGGTGAAAAGACACCAGAAGGTGGCAGATGTGTTCTCCAGTACAGAACGCTTCCGTGACTCAGGGCAGTCCCCACGCCTGGTGCTCTAGTGCCGGGCTGGCTGCTAGAACAGTCTAAAGCCCCTGTTCTCCAGGGGCCCAGTTCAGAAGGAGCCCAGAATAGCACAGACACAGGGACCCTGCCGAGACCACAAGGGACGTGGTTCTGCAGGCTGGGGCCCACGTGTGATGCGGGCGAGACAGTCACAGCCCCGCTGCAGACCCAGCTCTGGGCTGCTTTTGCCAACAGTGACCCTGGAGATGGCAGGTGCCGCAGCGGCACCTAGGTTCCCACCCACTGAACTTAGCGCCTCAGTCACCTTGTTGTTGACGACGACGTAGAAGTGAGAGTACACAGTCGGGAAGATGTTCACCCCCGCCTCCTTCAAAGCCATGATGAAGGGCACGGGCCTCATCCACTTCCCTTCTAAATGAGACAAATGCTCCTGGCTTCTCAGTTTGATTGACGCTAACATGCAGAGGTTTTCCTAAATTTCAAGGAGAGAAAAGAAATTGGTTTAATCAGTAATATGCCAGGTCTAGCCTTCTCACTGTGGTAGTTCTGAAATCATAGGCCACTCTACAGTTAAACAGTGCAGTTGGTATGTCTTGGGCCTGATTTGGAAGCCCCACCTGGGGTCCCATCACCTCAGGGTCCCCTCATTGCCTCAGGCAGGTCACTAACTTCCAAGGCTCCTCTGGGTACTTGAGGGATTAGGAATGGTGCCTCAGACCCATTTTATAAGATGTGAGAGCACTCTGTGTCCATTCTGAATTAAAGTAGCCATTAAACAATCATGATTGTACTTTAGGACCTATTCTTAATTTTTAACATCTGTGAGATGTAACATGCTGTAAACTGTCCAGTTTTGAAGGAGTACAAAATAAGAATGCAGCTAGTCCTGCCTGTTTAACCTACTAGATCTAAATGATCTCAGGATCTGTCCAGTGTAAAAATGAAGTCAGTTGGTGTTTTTCTTGCCAAATACTCAAAATCCACCATGCATTTCTCAGTTGTGGCGTTCATCGGTTTGGTCCGGCTGCATCTTATTCGAGAGCTTGATTACCACCTGCACAGGGGCCACCTGTAAAACCCAAAGACGCGTGCGCACTGTACTGAAAGAGACCACCCTGCCCCCTGCCTAGCCGGGCTCCCTCCTGGACCCCAGATTAGGCACAAACCACACCCAAACACCCATTTTCACAGAGAGATCCTTTATTAAGTGGTGAAGACTTATATAGAGTGGCTGCTTTCTGTCTCCAGCAGGAAAACAGCAGCGAATGACCTTGCGGGGGGGGGGGGGGGGGGGGGGGGGGGGGGGGGGGGGGTGAAGTCTGTGTCAGGATGGGCCACCACGCGGTGTGTTTCCATTACTCAAGTTGATTGGGAGAACCAAAGGGAGCTTTTTGTGTTGGACTTCAATACTTTGACAGCTAGACCTTGGCAGTCATAAGGAGGAAGTGGCCGATTAAGGGAAGAGACCTTGGCGGCTAGCTTTAGGATTGTACTCTAACAGTGTTCAGCAAGGCAGAGGGAATGCAGGAGATGGCGAGGCCTGCCAGGGTCATGCTTGCCATGCCCGAATGTAGCATGGATTCTAATTGGTCTTAATAAGAAGAACCCAGAGTCAGACATAGGGGTTAATGCTGAAGATCAGAGCAGCAGAGCAGCCAGCCACCAGATCTTACGTCTATGACATCCTCAGACCAAAGGGACAATCCTGTTCCTACAAAACCTCAGACTGAAGGTTCCTGTCTCCTCCCGCCTTCTACTGCTCTCTCTGCCCAGCCATATCGTTAACTCCAGTCTCCACCTCCCTAGTGCTGGGATCACCTTTGTGTGAGCTCTGTTTCTCTTTTAGACAGATTCAATCTCAGGTAGCCCAGGGTGGCCTTGAACTCACAGAGATCCAGTCTGCCTCTGTCTCCTAAGTGCTAGGATTAAAGATGTGCACCACCACTCCCTGACAAGTATGGCTGACGAGAGGCTTAGCTCTGCACTCTGATCTTCAGGCAAGCGATATTTGTTAGATCACAAACAAAATGTCACCACACTCCAGCTGGCCAGAGTTCCTTCATCTATGACCTGCATGTTCATTAATAGACACAGGCATCAGCCTCTGCCCAGCAGACTAAAATCATGCATGGTGATGTGGGAGTGTCATATATCAATCTGTTGATTTCATTGGTTAAGCAATAAAGGAACTCCTTGGCCCTGATAGGTTAAAACATAGGTGGGAGGAGTAAACAGAAAGGATGCTGGGAGGAAGAGGAAGTAAGGTCAGACTCTGCTCTGCTCCCGGGGAGACTCGACAGCTCTGCTCTCTGGAGCAGAGACGCCAGGCTCTGCTCTCCCAGGCAGCTCCGACCCAGGATGGACGTAGGCTAGAATCTTCCCGGTAAGCGCACCTTGGGGTGCTTACACACATAACTAGAAATGGGCTAGTCCAGGTGCGAGAGTTAGCCAAGAAGAGGCTAGATAGAAATGGGCCAAGCGGTGTTTAAATGAATACAGTTTGTGTGTTGTTATTTCGGGCATGAGCTAGCAGGCAGTCGGGGTGCTGGGGACGCAGCCCCGCTGCCCCAATTTCAACAGCATGGCATCTTCCCTGGGCTTGAACTGGGTGGTGAGAGAAGGCAGGGAGGCCAGGGAGGGAGGCCGGGCAGCAAGGCCAGCAGGGCAATGCCCCGTACACTCTCAGGACAGCTGTCCTAATAGATGGCAGGCAGGCTGCCGGTGTTTTAAGGGCTTGAGAAGTCACCCAATGACCCCCTCAGAGGCTTTATTTGTTTTGTTTGTTTGAGACAGGATCTCACAGTGTGCCTCTGGCTGGCCAGGACCTATGCCTTTGAATACTGGGATTAAATGTGTTTTCCACCATGCTTGTCCCACGTGGGCTTGGAGCCTGATGGTCTGGGAGCCTTTCTAGAACTGTATCCAGAAGGGTTGCAGCTCTTCTTACAACAGCTTATTTTGCACATCACAAAATTATACT